CAAGGGCAGTGTGAAAAGTTGAGGCGGATGCGGCGGACGTAGCTTGGCGCAGAGGCCACTGGTTCGCCAGTCTCTGTGCGAGGAATTCTCAAGTAGCCGACCAGGCAGATGCATGAGATAAAGGCGCGGTCGCAGTGAGGACAGATATAGTCCTGGTCATCTCTTCTGGTGTTGTTGGTGATGGTGTTGGTTTATGTTGGCGTGTCACGATTCTGTGGCATGCTGCTGTGCGTGGTGGATGTCACAAAGGCAGAAGTTGAGGCATTAAAGGAGGAGGATGAGGAGGGGGTGAGGAGGAGGAGGAGGAGGAGGATGGAAGTGCTAGATCAGGAGGGCGGTCAGAATATATTTACGACGTAGAGGACGAGAAAGAGGTGGGCGAAGGGACGATGGTAGATGCAGTCTGGGCCGTGCAGTTGATCCGAAGGTATCCAACAAGATAATTGGTGCACGGAATATCCGCAGATTGAGACATGACAACCGTCTCGGGCAGATTATTCCACGGTTCCATGGCACGGTTGGAGAAGAAATATTTTCTCACATTCAGTCTCCCCTGGGACACACGTAGCTTGAAGCGATGTCCCGGAGGTCAGTTGTAGTGGCGAGTTGGAAAAAGTCGTCGCACCGAAGGGCGCAGTCCAAGCTACGCCCGATACGGAAAGCTTGTATCAAGTCTCCGCACAACTGCCTACAACTCAGAGGATAGAGATTAAGGCTAGTTAAGCGGATCTCGTATGGCAGTGCACTTTGACTTCTTATTAATTTTGCTGTTCGCCTCTGCACACTTTCGAGCAGACTGTAATACTGGTGCGTCCACGGTCTCCAGGCCTGAAAGGCATATTCGAGATGCGGCCTTACAAACGTGCCGAAGACTTTGGAGAAGTAGTCTTCATCGAAAACTGCGAATGCCCGCTTGATGGCATAAAGCATTGAAGTTGCGGCCTTGGCCGCCTTACAACATTGTGTAGAAGGCTTTAGGCTGTCTGCAACCCAGAATCCGATATGTTTCTGCGTTTCTGTTTCTCGAAGTGGTATTCCGTTCAGATGATATTGGTGCGTTCTAGGGATCTGATTTCCGAGGCGCAGAATGGTACACTTGTACAAATTGAAGGACATGAGTCCTCTACTGGACCACTCGTCCAATCCACAAAGATTTTCTTGGAAGTTGGTCTCATCGGTAGCACTCTGGATGACCTTCCAGATTTTTATGTCATCCGCAAACACGGCATTATCACAAACCAACCCATCTACACAATCATTGATGAACAAGAGAAAGAGGGTTGGTCCGAGCACCGAGCCTTGTGGGACTCCACTGTCTGTGAATGTGCGCCTTGATTGCTGTTTGTCTACGCAGACAATTTGGGAGCTGCCGACGAGGAAATTCCCGATCCATTTGGGAAGTTTGCCGCCGATGCCCATTATTCTCAGCTTGTGCAGAAGACGCTGATGCGGAACACCGTCGAACGCCTCCCGGAAATCAATATAGGCCACATGACAGTGTGTGTGGCATCCAGTGCTCTTGTCCAACTCTGCATTGTATAACGTCCCCTATGGAAACCATATTGTGCATTGGACAAGAGGTTATTGGTTTCCAGATAAGCCATCAACTCCTTTTTTTATGGTTTTCTCCATCACTTTGCAGCAGATTGATGTCAGACTGACGGGCCTGTAGTTCGTTGCAAGAGCACGACTACCGCTTTCGTAAAGGGGTGCAATGTGGGCCGTCTTCCAGTCTGTGGGAAAGATTCCAGCATCAAACGATTCCTGGCACAGAAAGGATAGTGGTTTGGCCCGCTCTCGGACAAGCTCGAAAAGCAGCTTCGCTGGGATCTCGTCCGGACCGGGAAATTTATACTCCTTCAAGCTTTTTAGTTCTTCCAAAATCGTTTCTTGTCGAAACACGATATTTTCAATGGTGAGATCTCCCGTGTTTCCGGAACTACTTGGAATAAAGTCTGCTTCTCTTGTGAAAACGGATTGGAAAAATTGAGAAAAATGCTTAGCTTCATTCGTACTGTCCGATATCTCCAAACCGTCATCATTTCTCATGACAGGAATGGGATGCCTGTTACGTATGCTCTACCGCAAATAGCTGTAGAGCAATTTCGGATTTTTAACGGCTCGGTGAAGCAAATTACTGTCGAAATACCATCGCCTCCTGAAAATCTGGCTTTTCACCTTATTTCTTTAAACCTTTTACTCTGTAAACGCTGCAATATTGTTGTGTTCGCGAAATTTCCTCCACAACCTTCCTTTCTTGTTTATCTCCTTTTTGAGTTCTCTTGTTAGCCACTGAGGGCGGTTGGATATCCTAGGCTTTGACAAGGGACAGTGGCTCTTCATTAGATGCAGCAACCGATATTTGAACTAATTCCAATCCTCGTTAACGTTTCCGGAGAAGAGAACATCCCAGTCTATTTGTGATGCTTCAGCTCTCATTTGGCAAAAGTCCCCTTTCCATATATTTCGGCGCCGTATCTTCTTTTGTATACGGTTCAGACTACAGCTCATACTCCTGTAAAAGTACTGCGTAATCACTTCGACCGAGCGGGGTAGGTAGTACACCTTGTCATACTGTCAGGATCTTTGGTGAGGACGAGGTCCAGAAAACTGGCCTGTTGCCCTCCACTCGCTCTAAGTGGAAACGAGACATGTTTCGTGAGAATAGTTTCTAGGGTTGTCTTTAGTAGACGGTAATCGAAGGCATACTTCGAGCACTTTGCATGCATATCGCTCCATTGAATGCAGGGTGCATTAAAGTCCCCCAAGAGAACAACGTCTGGTCAACTGGCGATCTCTTTTATGGTTTCCAATAGACAATTATTTTGGTCGGGATCCACCTGCGGGGGCCGGTGAATAGTTCCGACTTCGAGGGACTGAGGCCTCCTTGCCTTTATCGTCAGCCAGTTGAGCCAGTCAACCAGAATGCATTCCTCGATCACTTCGCATGCATATCGCTCCGTTGAATGCAGGGTGCATTAAAATCCCCCATGATAACAACGTCTGTTCGACTGGCGATCTCTTTTATGCTTTCCAGTAAACAATTATCTGGGTCGGGATCCGCCTGAGGGGGCTGGTATATAGTTACGACTTCGAGGGACTGAAACCTCCGTGACTTTATAGTCTTCCCAGTTGAACTAGTTGAACTGCAGACACTCCAGGGAGGACTTCGGAGTATCCTTGTATCGAGGGATTTGGCCTCTTTGGCGGCGGAAGCTTGTAACGACGTCTACATAGAAGAGTCGTTTGGGTAGCCGTTCGTTGTCCATCCGCATGAGATGGCCGCTCCAGCGCAGTTGCAGTTGACTCAACATGATGTAGGCGCTGAGGAATCCCGTCCGCTCCAGTACGTCAGTGTCTGGGATTCGGTCCTGCCAACTCAGCTTCAGTATACGAAGAAGACAACCGAGGATGATTCGGCGTGCCTGCTTTGTGTATACCGTCCAGGTCTTTGCTCCATACTGAGGCATCAAGCACCTCTTAGGTTTCGTGCCGAGCTGAAAACCGTGACGTTTTCAAACTCTATTTTAAAGACAACCGAAGGCTTGGCTGGTTTGGAAATCCCCTGAGCCACTTCGTCTTCGATGTTGGCGCTGCAGGAGAGGGTACTGCCTAAATACGTGAAGTTGAACAGCGTTTGCAGTTAGGTTCCTTTCACGCTCATTTGCGGCGCATTGTTGGTTGTGTTGAGTGGCGGTTGTTGCGTGACCACCATCTTCTCCATGTCAACTAACAGACCGAAGTTTTCGCAGGCGGCAGAGACTGGGTCCATGCTCCTTTGCATGTCCCCTTCCGAGACAGTGTTGGGTCGCAGTCGTCGACGAAGAGAAGTCCGTGGGCGGTGATTGTGGAAACCTGCGACTGGAAGTGCATCCGCCTGTGGTTGAGTAAATGACCATCCGTCCTGTAGGCGATGCGGGTCCCGGGGCGTTCGTCACGGAAGGCGTCCATCAGCATAGCAGAGGAAATTAGACTGAAGAGGGTGTGTGCCAGGACGTAGCTCTGCTTCACTCCGTTGGTCACTGCGAATGCCTCTGAGACAGCTCTATTGTCCATGAGTCGCGCCATTATTCCATCGTGGAGCTGATGCACAATCGGAGTGAATCGTTTGAAACAGTTGAATTTCTGCATGATTTTCCACAGTCCTACGCGGTTCACCCTGTAGCCGGGAAAGCATGCAAGTGTAAGAGACAAACCCACTAGTTGGGCACAGCGAGTAGGCTATCCAGGAAACGAAAATAGCAGTATCCCAACAGTTACAAACTAGTAAATAAGAACAAAGTCGTCAGCAGGTAAACGTGCACGTGCGTGTTCTTTGTCTTATTCAAAGTTGTGTCAAAGCGTATTGTAACTGATTAAAACAAGACAGACTTAAATGTCACTACAATACTCCCCCTCCTAGGAGAACGGAGTTCAAAAAAATTATTGTTAATAGAAGGAAAATGTGGGAGCGTTATGCATTTTGTACAAGTTGGTAACGGTTGGAAAAACGGACATGACGACCGCTGCGCGTAAGGGGAGGACTCTGTGGGATAAGGGAAGACGCGGGGTTATTGGGCGTAAATGGAGTCTGAGAAATAGCAAGTGGCAATGTGCCAAGTGGAGGTTGTTCGGTTGGAGAAGTTGGAAGAGGCTCGGTATAAGCCGCCTTCAAGCGATCGATTGAGACCACATGGATGCGGCCTCCACGGTCAATTGTAAAGTGCTTGTCCTTGCGCGATAGTACTCGAAATGGGCCGTCATAGGGCTGTTGTAGTGGCCGGCGAACGCTATCTACGCGGACAAATACAAAAGTACATGTTAGTAAGTTCGGGTCGACGTACGACTTACTTGTTGAAGGACGTGGAGGAGTGGCTCGAAGATGAGTCATGGCTTGGCGCAATCTTTGCACATAATCGCTGGGATCCAAGTCGGTTGAGCTTTGAGAGTACCCGAAAAAATCACCTGGAATCCGTAGGGCAGTACCGTAGACAAGTTCGGCAGCGGAACACTCCAAGTCGGGCTTGAGTGCGGTACGGATACCGGGCATGACCAAAGGCAGATGCTCGCTCCAATGGGAAGGGTTGTCATGAGCTCGGAGCGAGGCTTTGATTTGCCGGTGGAAACGCTCGACTAAACCGTTGGATGAGGGGTGGTATGCTGTCGTGCGTATGCGAGAACATCCGAGGAGGTTGGTAAGGCTGTTAAACAGTCTAGACTCGAATTGTTGACCTCGATCGGTGGTAATTGTTGAGGGGACGCCATAATGAGAGATCCAGTGTTCCAAAAATGCATGAGCAACGCAATCTGCAGTTATGTTAGGTATGGGAGTTGCAATAGGCCAACGAGTAAATCGGTCAATCGCAGTAAGTAAGTAGTTGCAACCACGAGATGTTGGAAAGGGATCTACCAGATCGATATGGACATGTGAAAAACGTGTGTCGGGTGCGAGAAAAGTGCCAATGGGGGCTTTGTTGTGCCGTCCGACCTTGGCATTCTGACAGGCCAAACAGGAACGGGTCCACTGGCGGATATCAGTGTTCATGTTTGGCCAAACGAACCGCTCGCTGGCGAGGCGCTGGGTAGTGCGGATGCCAGGGTGAGTTAGATTGTGCAACGCGGCAAAAACATCTCGTCTCATCTCGTTTGGCACAACGGGTCGGGAGGCACCGCGCGATACGTCACACAAGATTGTACCGGGGTGGTGGAAAAAGGAATGGCTTCGAGTTGAAGACTAGTGTGTTGAAGGCTCTCACTGAAAGTCGGCTATCGGCTGGCTGGTAGAATCGCTGGACATAATTAGCCGGGGTCGGTCAGAGGTCAGATAAATGGGGTAGAGGACTGGCGCGTTGACAGAGAGATTGAAGGGTAGCGCTCGTATTGGATGAAAGGGTGAGACAGTGTGAATAGCAAATAAGGGCTAGATGAATAATCTGATTGATAAAAATTAGAGTGAGGATTAGTCCGAATGGAAACAGTTATGCACAGAGATTAAACAGAAGGAGCTATGAACGATATAGGGTCACCAGTGTAAGAGACAAACCCACTAGTTGGGCACAGCAAGTAGGCTATCCAGGAAACGAAAATAACAGTATCCCAACAGTTACAAACTAGTAAACAAGAACAAAGTCGTCAGCAGGTAAACGTGCACGTGCATGTTCTTTGTCTTATTCAAAGTTGTTTCAAAGCGTATTGTAACTGATTAAAACAAGACAGACTTAAATGTCACTACACAAGTCATCGTAGAATTTGCCTCTTTTGGTTTTAGGAGCGTAGATGCTGATAATGGTGGCGAATTTAACTCCCCGAAGAGGCAGGCGAAGGCTCATCAGGCGATCGCTGATGCCTGCGGCAGACAGAGTAGTTGTCCCATGATGTGGTTTCGGATCGCAAAGGCGACGCCCGAGTCTCGCCGCTCTGTCTTAGGACGACTGCTCCAGAAGAAGGTGTAGCCAGCGGTCACCTCCTCCAGTTGGCCTTGTTCGGAGAACCGGGTGTCGCTGATAGCAGCGCTGTCCACCTTGTAGTGCGTCAGATCCCGAGCCACTAGCTCCGTCCTACATTCTGGTCAGTTGCCCCTCGGATTGTCTAAAGGCGAAAGAATATTCCAGGCTGTCAGAGTTAGCGGACTCACCTTATCAGTCTCGCAAATGGGCGGCGGTGAGAAGAAGAAGTAGAAGAAGAAGAGTGAGAACAAGCAGGAAGAGGAAGGGAGTGTGTTGCTATTGTTTCTTTGGTGGTTGTTTCGACCGTGAGTTTAACGTCTGCGACCACGGTCAGTCTGCAGACGGCGTGGCCCCCGGCATTTCTTTAAGGCACCTTTCCCTACTCCCTGTCTCCTTGCGGGAGCAAGCAGTGCCTCCCTGGATAGGGCTGCTCAGTTTTGTCAGGCGTTGCCTAACTACACTATGGGCCACGGCTTTGGTGTAGTGAAAGAACGACTCGAGCTAGCCTGAGGAGCTTGCATCGCCGTAAGCTTTTTGGCCTCCTGCGACGCACAGACGGAGCCTCATCTCGGCGATGCCGATGCGAATTTCAATCCGACCAGCCGCCCAGCGGAGTCCACAATACTGTGTGCGCAGATGCACACACGGGTACTCTCACCTGGTTTAGTTCGCCGGTTGAGGCGGTTACCGGTGTGCGACCGCCAGGCTGAGCCCAGCTTCGGGGAGCCACTAGTGAGAGTTGGGTGTCAACAAATGAACGCTAGGTGTAGTCTGCACATGCAAGCAAGTGAGCGGCCTATTATGACCATCACATGAGCGCACAGCTGGACACCCGTACACCCCTTATATCTAATAAAATGAAATGGAAGACAGATCAATCGGTTTCCGTATGCCACGATACTGGGAAGTAACCATATTGAAAGTGATAATAGGCATGTAATTTATGAAGGATCGATGCGAAAATCGTTAAATCACAATCAATAATAACGGAAATCTACAGTCGCTCCGTGCTTCAGAGAAGAACTTGCGATAAGGGGCAGTTTATTTGGGGACGGAAGTGTAGAGTGTAGCGAGACAAAGGATGTTCTGGAGGAGGAAAGTATTAAACATGCTAGGAACCGGAGGACCAGGCCACATACGCCACGGGGAAACCGGATTTCTTCGCAATTCAATCAGACATCGTTCTCTGTGGCCTCGTCCGGGATTGGCTCCTGGATCTCTACAGCGGGTTAGGCCGGATCAAATCAAGAGGAATAAAATACAGCAGATGGATGATCCACAGGGGATTTTTATCACAGAGCTGTTCAAATCTTTTTGCTTACTTGGGCATCTGGCATTATTTTCGGCATGTTATCTGAAATAAGCCATCAGGAATTAAATATACGACCATGCCGAAGAGGGGAGGATCGACAACGCGAAGGTTCACAAATCGCAAGACAGGGAAGACATATTAGTTTGCACAAGCTTTACGGGGGCTAGAGAGCATACAGTAGATGGCCTAACCTACAAAACGTTCCGACCGAAATTTGAGTGGGTAGTATGGCATACGTTTTGTGTTGTTATTTTTGCTTGTCAATACGAGACGTAGAAAGCCATTTATCAAAGAATTCGATTAAAATCTGGCTGGAGGACACAACGTTGGAGGATCTTACCTTCAGGAATTTCCTTGCAAAACTCACAGCATTGCAGGAGTCATCACATCTACTGAACAGGCAGCTCAGCATATAATTGCAGTAAGTTGTCGTTTCAGGTATATTTCGGTGAGGTTACTGGGCAACATTGTCTGAGTGTGCGCATCTTGGCCTTGTCCGCCCACAGCCAGTCAGCCAGGGAGGCAGCGTCGACTGGTCTTGAGTCCTCGCCACGCTAACGACAAGTCCTACACGGCTCTAAGATTGGACTTACGAGGAGCATGAGACGATCGCAGGGATAGGCTGCCACGATAAATCATAACAAAGCACAAACATAGTGTACCATAAGATCGTAGGACAGCGAGTCTGCTCAACCTGCAGAGATTTCCGTTCTTTTTAAGTTTTTGTGAGGTCAACTAGGCAGTCGATGGTGTTTAATGTTAGTCATCACCTTAAATACATTCCATTTGACCTTCCTCAGTTACTATATATTTTTACTGATGTGAACGCGTTAAAATGCGATTAGAAGACGGTCCGCGTCCTTTATCATATATACAATTAAAAAATTACCTGAGTTAATTTCGGTATACAGCTCATAAATCATAACTTTCAGAGATTTCAGTGTTCCGCTCCCTAAATAAGTTAATCATTTACGAACTACAGTGAGGAGTACCTATACATCAGAGCACTTTTGTTATTCCAAGAGGGGAGAACGACAGAGTCTGGGGGGTTGATTGATACAGCACTGTTTCGGACTTGTTTGCCTTCCCTCAGCCAATCATAACCCTGACCACCATCTGGGACCGGAAACACAAACATGCGCACAGACACACCTGGTGCAGCTGGTCCACCACTGGGGTCTACCAGAAGGGTCATAATCACTTCATCGAACCGAAGTTCATCAGTGCCTCGCCACCTGCCAGTCTCTGTCGTAGGGCTTGGTAGGCAGCCGGCAGAGTTACACATCTGTTGATTGAGGTACTTGTGGTGTGCCAGGCTTCGAGTGTCTCCCTGACCGTTTGATCGCTCCCTTGGCCCAAGACTTCGGCGTCTTGGAAGGCGAAGGCGTGGCCAAAAGCTGCGCAATGTTCTGCCACCAACGAGAGCTGATCCATTCTTCGTACCGCTCTTGCGTGCTCGTCCATGCGGGTCTGCAATCTCTTCCCGGCTTCTCCAACGTAGTTTGCCTCGCAGGAACTACACGGGATCCGGTAGACGACGTTGGCAGTTTCGCCGCGTGGCAGAGGCGTTTTTGGTCTCATGACCAAACTTCTAATTGTCGCTTCGGGTTTGTGGGCGATGCCGATGCCCAATGGTTGCAAGATACGAGCAACTGCCTCGGAAACGTTCGCAATATATGGCAGCTCTTGCCAGACTTTCGGCTGATTTGCCGTTGACTTTACGGTTGGTCTGGACAGTCTGCTGCGTTCTATAAAGCTGCGGGGGTAACCGTTGGAGGTGAACATCCGCCGTAGATAGTGGAGTTCGGCTACCTTGTCGGTCGGTTCGCTGCAGTGAGTGTCAACTCTCCTGTAGAGAGATCGAACACAGCTTCGTTTGTGACACAGCGGGTGATTGCTGTGGTAGGACAGGATTTGGCGAGTGTTAGTGGCCTTCCTGTAGACCGTGGTTTTCAGGCTCCCGTTGACCTTGCGATGGACCAGAACGTCTAGAAACGCGATCTGATTGTTGTTCTCTGTCTCCATGGTGAATTGAATATCGGGAAGAACAGAGTTCAGCAGCGCGTGGAAATTCGAGACCATTTCCCGTTTGAGAACGACGAAAGTGTCGTCCACATACCGCGCCCAAAATTTTGGCTTATACGTTGCGAACACCAACGTCTCCAACTCTTGAAGAACAGCTTCAGCGATGAAACCGGATAGTGGTGAGCCCATCGGCGTACCTTTGATTTGTTCGTGCACAGTCCCTTCAAATGTGAAGAACGTTTGGAGACAGTATTTAAGCACTTGCAC